TTATACACAAATATTAATTTGAATTCACACACATCTGTAAATACATGTCTGCATTACAAATACATTGACTCTCTGCAAAATACACCCAGCTTACACACAGTTCATACAAAAACACTACCAGCTAAAAAAAAAAAAAACTCTCTGAGGAAAAGAAATGTCACTGATTAGCAGTTTTGGGACAACAATGACACTGCTCAGTGTTTTGGGCAAAAAAAAAAAAAAAATGGCACTATTAAGCTATTCGGACACAAAACTGTCACTGATAACACGGGGACAACGATATTTTAAAACTAAGATGGCACTGAAGCTGTATGGGGTCAGAGATCGCACTGATTACCTATTTTGAGACAAAGATGGCACTGAGAAGCTGGGCACAAATATGACACTAAAAAGCTTTTTGGGGGCAAGGCTGGCACAGTAGGAAGTGGGTGTCATGTGACCTGGATTGGGGGTGGAGTTGTTTCCATAGAAAATGGGTGTGGTTAGATGTGTATGTTTGTAAAGGGGATGGGTTAACAATATAGTCACCGGGGCGGCAAAAATATTCTTGCACCCAGGCGTCAGTGACCCCAGGATCAGACAGAGACAGACACACACGTATATTAATGTGTGTAATATATATATATATATATATATATATATATATATATATTTGTGGTCGTGGCAATATAGCCGTATATGGAAACATAGCATATAATAACATATCAATTACTTGGAATTAGTCGGTTGTGGTGTGCCGAAACCGACAGAGGAGTAGGCCTGTAAAAGTGGGCCCACCTTAGAGGGTGTTTGTAATAGAGGGAGTGGTGGGTGGGTTGACTCGCCAGACCATTACGGTAATGTGGGAGTGGATTGGCAGCCTTTTTATAGGGAAACCAAGCCCCTCCCACAACTACAGGCCAAGCCTTTTAATTTGTGGTCGTGGCAATATAGCCGTATATGGAAACATAGCATATAATAACATATCAATTACTTGGAATTAGTCGGTTGTGGTGTGCCGAAACCGACAGAGGAGTAGGCCTGTAAAAGTGGGCAAAAATAAATCATAAGACATAATACGTTGACCAAAATCTTTATTTAGATAAGTCACAGAAAGCTAGTCTTAATTCTTTAACAGGATTGGGTATGTAAAGAGTATAAGCGGAAGATTTCCAGCGTCCCATTGTTTTGATGATGTGTGGAGGAATGTGGTTAGCAGAAGCTGTAGATGCTGCTCCGATTCGAAAAGAATGACCCGAAAATTGACTAGGGTTCAAGCCGAGTCTAGTCAACAGCAGTCTTACATAGAGCATAAACTTTGCTGTAGTTAGAACGTTACAGTGCAGTTCTAGCAAAGGTTGTAATGGTTGTTTGTGGAGTGATAGTAGATAATTGTCAAAATTTTGTACAGGGCACCAGTTATTATGAGTAGGGTATAAGGGGATCGTAACGGTATGACCTATCGTGCTGGTTTTTGAGTGTTTTAGCGTGAGTAGGTAATGGTCGTTCTGTTTCGCTAAGTCCATAGTTCTTAGGTAATCAGGGGACGTGATAGTCCTAGTTGTGAATTCGTTGGGACGGAGGAATCCATAAAAAGCAAGATATATGGCTGATTTTATTACCGTGTTTGTCCTGGGCTCAAAAGGAGAGGAATCTAACAAGTTGACTAGTGCATGAAATATATGGTTATCAATAGGTAGTCGTTTCCCGGGGATATGTGTATCTAATTTCTTAATGCCTCTAAGAACTGTCTTGATTTGATATGAGGACAGGAAACTCGTGGCGTTGGGTTGTTGAATAAGCATGTGGTGTTGAATTCCCACAAGGTATAGTTTTATAGTGTTAAATGATAGTTTAAGGTTGATGTGGCAAAAAGAAGTGAAAACCAATATTGATTCTATCGTGAACATATCGTGAATGTGAAATTCAGTGATGAATTTATTGAATATGTGAAAAGCTCTGTCGTAAGTGTTTCTAGTGTTTACAGAGAGTGCCAGGTGAGAAATGTGACGTGCGTGATTTAACAAAGCTTTTAATCCATTATCATGTCTGTGAAAAGTGGGACTGGAGTTGCCCGTCTGGAGGCGGTGGGTAGTGTCGTGAAGAATTCCTGAAAACGAAATCGAGACAAGTGATCAGCACTGATGTTTGTGCACCCTGGAACGTGGATACATGTTAGAAAGAATTGACAAGTGGCTGCTACCCATGTGAGTCGTCTCAATAGCCTCATAATTACCAGGGATGATGACCGGCCTTTATTGACAATATGGCAAGTAGCCATATTATCAGAATAGCACCACACCGTGTGACCGGACCACTGGTGGCCCCAGGTAACGGCCGCAGCCACGATGGGGTACAATTCGAATAAAGCTGAGGTCTCTGAATTTTGTGAGTGATTTGACCTCAGTTGGCCATGGCCCCACGAGCCATAGGTCACCCCATATGGCTGCAAACCCTGTGTTTGCTGCAGCGTCTGTCCATATTGTAGGTGAAGTGTCTGAGTGAGATGGTATAAACATGGCACGCCCATTCCAAGAAGTGAGGAAAATCCTCCACATGCTCAAATCGGATGTCGCATGTTTGTCTAGTGAAACGTAAGATGTGTCTGAGGTGAATTGTGGAAATAGTGATAGCAAATGTGAAATAAATGATTCCCCTGGGGAATGATTCTCATTGCAAAATTAAGCGATCCCAGCAATGATTTAGGTCTTTCTTAGTGCAACGACCTTGCTGTAGGTAGTGGTCAATACTTGCCAGGATACGCTCAATTTTCTCATGAGGGAGGCTAGCCTGCATGTGTACTGTGTCTAGTTGTATCCCTAAAAATTGCATCTGGGTGGCGGGCCCCAGGGTCTTGTGTGGGAAGACTGGAACAGAAAGTGACTCAAATAATGCCAACATGTGTTTTAAACTTGTGGGTGGACTTGTGTTGTTCTCAATTGTGAGGAAATCGTCTAAATAGTGAATCACAGAGGGACATTTGTAAACATTTAGCAACAACCAACATAAAGCCTCTGCAAATGTGTCGAAAATACGCGGGCTGCTCTTAGAGCCAAAAGTGAGACGAGTGAAGAAATAGTATAACCCTTCCCATTTAATGCCGTGAAGGTGCCAAAGTGTAGGGTGCATAGGCAGTAGTTTGAAGGCATTCACTACATCCGTTTTGCTTAACCATGCCCCTGTGCCAGCTTTAATGATAGCCCCGATGGCATGGTCGATAGTGGCGTAATGTAGTGAAAACTCTTCAGATGGTATAAGTGAATTTAGGCTAGGGACCGTGGAGGAATGTGGTGCGGATAAATCAATGATCAGCCTGGGTTTAAGTGAGTTTTTCCCCGTGACAATCCCAATGGGATTGGTTCTCCAAGAATTGAAGGGTGGTGAAAGGAATGGACCCAGCAAAAACCTTGTTTCACCTCGGTTGTGATAAGTTTATGTACCAGCTGTGGGTCATCCCGTGTGGAAAGTAAGTTGTCACATTCCAGTGTGCCTGTAGGTAAATGTATCAACCCTGTGTGAAATCCCTCCGATAATCCTGTTATGAGATAGTCGCTGAAGTGTCGTGATGGGTGTAGACGTAGCAAATCGGTGAATAAGCTGAGGTTCACGCATGTGAGGTAGGGTTTTGGGAAAGCTTTATTTAGGCACATTGTCTTGGAATGAGCCCTGAAACAATGTGAACAAACATGCATTAGTCTACAGGAACTAAAACCACAATTGCCAGCATTAAAATTGGTACATACTTGGGATTTCCCTAAGAAGACAATATCTCTTCCTAGTTTGTCTTTCAAACCTTTATTTGATCTTGGGGGGTTAGTTGCTGCTTGGTTTTGTTCTACCTCAGCTGTATTAGGGCAGAAATTTGTGCTGTGGGTTGCTGATGAGCATACTGCACAAGTTGGGGGCCTGAGTACAGAATAGCTCTGTGTCCAACTTGCTCCAATTGATGTTTAAGTTGAACTGAGCCAGAGCTGCTGCCACTTTTGCAGAGAAGGAACGATGGTAATCGTAAAACGCTGTACCACCGTATTTGTGTCCCAGATCCACCAACTTGTGCATGTACGTATCCAGCTCGGCTCTTTTCCCTGGGTATACAGTGCAATATACATCCCTATAGATGCCAAACCCTAATACAAATTCTGGGATGTTCAATTTTTTGTTCAGGCGAGGGTCTCTAGCTCTAAGGACTACGGAAATATCCCCACAAGCAAAGGTCCTGTTCTCAAGGACATCCTGGGAGGCAATGAGCAATGAAGCTAGGTTAACATCCTTGATTTCCAGAATGTCCTTTTTAAGGTGAGCTGGGACCATGTGTGAAGGATCAAAAGATTCTATATCAGCCGTAGCTGCCAGGGTATTACCGGGTAAGGTATTAGCAAGAGGCTGAGTGGTGACCGTTGAATTTGTCGTGGACTGAGTAACACTACCGGCCTCCAATTTGTCCAGCCTGTCGCGGATTGTCGCTATGGATGCCATAAGGGACGTCATCATAGCATGAAATGCTGGCATTTGCGATCCGCTAGGGCCTTCCCCTGCCTCGGAGTTGTCAGTGGTAGTGTATAATAGCCTATACAACTCCGCCTTCCTAGCTGTAGCCGGGAAAGGGATGCAGCGTCTTCTTAGTTCAGCTGTAAGACGTGGTATGGTCCACTATCTAAGGGATGCAGGGCTATTCACGTCTGTACCCGGAACTGGGGTGGCAGGCCTAGCGGGTGTGCTAAGTAGTGATAGTTCTTCAGGGATATCAGGCGTTAGTGATATAACTGAAATTATAAATATAAATAGTCAGTCGTATAAAATGTTTTGTGGGTGGGTACTGGTGGGCTAGCTAAATACCAAGCGGTGAAACAATTAAGCTTCTTTTGAGCGTGACAGAAGAGACCCTGCTAGTTGCCGAGCGGCTTGAGAGGCACTATCTATG